GCCAAATTCTCATTACTAAATACCAATAGGAATGTAATGCTTTTTCTATCAAGTGTTGGGTTGTTCGTATGGTTGGGTTGTTCTTTGTGTTCGAAATTCTATATTTGAACATTATACTTTTATCCTCCCCTCTAATCACTAATTCCTAACATTCTTGACATAAATAAATAATAAAAAAAATAAAAACTGGCGTAATATAACTTATTTAAAACATGTTGGTTCTATTGTTTGTTGTAGTTGGGAGGGACTTGTGAATCAAGTTCTTTTTCAATTCACTAATAAACAGAGATGATCATTGTACACAAAATTAGGAGGAAAATCAATGAAATTTATGTAACTATTTTAGTTTTATATGTTATGAATGTAACTATTTGGAATTTGTAAATCGTAAATGTAGATCATATTAGTGCTTTATTTTTCTTTTCAATTTTTATGTATTTTAACAAATAAGTGTCCAACTACTTTTTTCAAAAATAAAATAATAGATTGAAATTTATTTGTAAACGTTTCTCTTTTTATATACATAGAAGAGAATTTTCGCAAGTGCAAGAAGCAATTCTATGTGTCCTACCTTTGCACAAAGTTATAGAGTCAAACTGTGTGTTGAGTTTCGTTAATTCGTGAATGTGTACCAAGACCATGGTTCATCGTATGTGTCGATATGCGACGTATCGATCGGTTCGTAATCTTTTTTCAAAAATTTAATACCGTTACATATCAACATGAACCAATCAATTCGACCGATTTATACCAATATTTATCCCAGTCTATTATACTGCGATCACGATAAATATAAACTATGATTAAGACTGCATTGCTTTAGTGCACATGAATTCTCCCACAAGAGAGGATGGAGGTCCACAAACGCATATGAGGCAACTAATGGGTGTTCTTAGTCCAAAACTAAGCAAGCAACTTAGAATGGTCCAAATTATAATTAATTCATTGGTTAGAGTAGCAAAGCTCATAAGTTTTTCGGGTATTACTTTTAATTATTAGTCAATTAATGATGCTGCTCCCGACCATGGTCCTAGTGGTGTCTTCCGAATGGTTCTGCTTCTAATGAGGACATATTGACACCTTCCAAAGTAACATATCCCCTCCCTCTCTCTCTCTCTCTCTCTCTCTCTCTCTCTCTCTCTCTCTATATATATATATATATATATATCTATCTATTGGCGAGTGTGTCACACTGTGCATTTGTCTAAAATGACAAGGACATTAGAGATATTAATCATGATTATTATACCTTGTTTGAATGTGATCTTATAAACCACAATGCAAACCCTTTACTAGGCTATCATTACCTAGCTTTGTACGGACTACATTTTACCATTTTACTTACAATGTACCGAGTTACATTATTATTGCATTTTATTAATCCATTATATATATTATTGCATATAAGTTGAAAAAGGTGAGACCATTAAGACAGACCTGTTGTAACATGAGCCATGAACTTTCTTAATTACATTTCCATCCAATCCAGACTAGTTCCTTTTACCAAAATCATACATCATAAATAATAATAATAATAATAAAAAATAAAATTATTAAAATGGCGGAACGGATAAAAAGTGGATAAAATGGGGGTGGGGGAAATTAAATAGAAATGGAGACGGGATATAAGTATTGTTCATATTGGACAATACTTGGGTTTTTTAAGATCTGCAATATATTCATTGTTGACGTGAATCAATAATAAATAGAAATATTTTATTTTAATTATCAAATCATAGATGTTAATTTATTATTAGTCCACATCAACGGTGAATATATTACAGATGTGAGGACCTAAGTATTATCCTTTTAATAAACAATTTTGGACCGAGATAAATATTATTTGAACAATACTTAGGTCCTCTTTACTGAGAATCTACACCATCCTCACTAGTGATGTGAACCAATAATAAATAGACATGTCATTTTTAATTATCAAATTCAATATAGTGTGATACATACTCACTTACCAAATCAGATATGGTGATTTAATTACCGTCTATAATTTTATAATTAAGATAAAATATATTAATTTATTATTGGTCCATATTAATAGTTAATATGGTGTAAATCTTCACTAATGGTAATTTAAATATTATTGATACTGCCTATTATTTTGATAAATAGGTTAGAAAAGAGTGCGGGCTCCACACCCGCTCCTTTGCCAGTCATACGATGGTAACTCGTTGAATAACATGGGCTCAGGGGAATTGTTGTGGGCCCATCAACCCATGATGGGCTAAAAATGGGTTGGCATCAAATGTAAGCTACATGCAGTGAATTACAAAACAGCCCAAGTGCATTTCTCTCCGGTCTCAGCCGAGAAGAGAAACATCTTACACGTGACCTCATGCTCGCACGTGCTACCTGACACAAACCTATTCGTCAAAGGTCAAACATGAAAAAAGCCTGTAATAGATTTTTCTTACACTGGAACACGAAATCGCTCGTGCGAGGCGTGATAAACTTTTTTCTGGACTTGTGTGACTTTGACTACTGACCCTTTAAATCCAACGGTGGGTACGGAATGTCACATGACAAGAGATCTGGACCGTTGATAGGGGACAAATATCGAGAATCAGATGCCCACTTTTGCTGGTTGGAACCTGGAAAGGCCGACACCGCGAGAGCTGATATGTCGGGGTGAGAGGAGAGAGAAAATATTGTTCCTTTTTTTTTTCCTTCCTTTAATGCCCTTTTCCTCACAAGTCCCGACAAGGGCGGCTCGTGCCACGTGGCGAAAGGTAAAGTGTGGTCACGTGATGTTGACACGTGTAAAAGGGCAGTTCTTGGGGGGACCACATAGGGTTTTGGTTTGAGAGACATGGGGTGCACATACATGTGATGGTTATTGAATGGGTGGGGCTTTATTTGATGCTATTTTTCTATCAAAAATAATGATTTTGAATCCAAAACATTGCATTTCAAGTCTGTCTCTTTAGTTGAAAATATCATTAAAATTATTTGAAAAATGTTTAGAGTTTGGAAAACTATGAGAGTTGAAATTGATTACCGAGTCAGTTGCTTTTTTTCTTTTCTGTTTTTTTTTTAAAAAAATCTAAATATAAATGAATCAAATTGAGATAAAAGTAAGGTGTTATTCAATAATTTAATACTTAATTAAAGAAAATAGTATATCATTTTTTTATTGTATTTTTATATGATATTTTGATTATTGTGACAACAAAGAATGATTTAAAATCGAAGGAAACAATTTGATCTCTCAATTTTCAATGATCGTCTATCATCTATAGGGACGGAATCCACGAAGGCCTAGGGGGCACGTATCCCACTTGAGTTGGCCCACGGCCTATAACATATGTAGTAATTTTTTTTAATTTTTTTTCATATATATTAAAAAATTTATCTAATGCCCTCCTCAATTTTGTAGTTCCTAAAATTATATCTTTATTTTTTTTTAATTTTCTCTCACTCTTCAAATAAGGTGAAGTCAAATTTTCCTTCCTCTATATATATATATACATACTTTGTATTGTTTTTTTTTTGTTTGACAACGTGTCTCTCCTCACTTTAAATCGTGGCTCCGTTACTGATCATCTACATTAAATTTCACAATAGACTATCAAAATCCACTTATAAAAAATCTAAGTAATATATACATGTCTTCAAAAAAAAATTAAATTAAATTAAATTAAATTTCACAATATACTATCAAAATTCACCTAAAAAAAGTCTTGGTAATTTGTACATGGTAAAAACTTTTAGGCTCAACACTACAAATCAAATTGGGGGAACAAAAGTGCAAATGATGATGTGTGTGCCACAACAGACCATGAAAGTCTAACTCGGATGCCAAGTCATTTTTGTCGTTTATCGAAAGGATAAGTGGGGTCCACAAGCCGAAAGTAGGGACCACGTGTTTTGTTGAATTTTCTTACGCAAGGGGATCGTACTTTTTATATTGTCTGTTCCGTGAAATGTGTATTCTCTATGTTTGGTATGTGCCCAAATCCATTCTTGTAAAATTTCAAAAATGCCCTTTATTGCTTAAGAAATCCTTAATCAACAAAGGTGTACAGGTGGTAGTTTGGGGATCTCAGACTCATAGTGGGGTATTCCAAAAGCAAGCTAGACCACGCGTGGAGAGGTCATTGGGCTTTAATGGCAAAACTTTGGATTGAAAAAAGAGCAAACTTATGGACATGGCATGGCCCATGGTATAACAAGTCATAATTTTATGTGAGGAGACATAACTTCTTGGATTCACTCGCACAAAATAATGTTTCTTTTGGCAAGTACATAAAACAAAAATAATTGCAATTTCTCAATTCAAATTAAAAATATATATATATATATATGAATAACATTAGTTTTACCAATTAAAAAAAAAAAATTTTTGATAGAGTTAATCTCTTAGCAAATAATACTAACTTGAGTGATGCTACTGTGATTAAAGAGTAACACCGAAATCATACATTGAAGGGCTCTCAGCCTTCGGATGCATGGAATGAACTGAGGGCTAAGAGCCCTTAAGTTCTCCTTCAAAGTTAGACAAGTATTTTTCTATTAACTTATATCATATTTAGAAAAGATAAAGATAATAATTGGTTTATATTGTGTGTGAAAATAGCAAAATTGAAATTCACTTGTAAAAAAACATGTAATTACTAACTCTCATATTCTTTCCCTCCATTTCCGTCCACTTTGTGGATGGGTTTAGTGAATCCTTCCAAATCCTATAATTATTAATTTCTTTCAAAAAAAAAAAAAATTAATACCAAACACAACATAACTTTTCTTTTCTTTTCTTCTTCCATTTCTCTCCAACATACTGGGCCTAAAAGAGCTTCTACCATAACCCTACTGGAAAAAGATTAAAGCACTGGGCTTTGATAAAGCCCAATCATAGGGCCATTTTGTTTGCTAAATATGCACTGATAGGTCCATTTCAACAAAACACAGGTGCTATTTCCATCTTGTATATAAAAAGGCTTATAGGAAAAGCTGCATTTTTGCATCCAATCCCACATCTCTCTCTCTCTCTCTCTCTCTCTCTCTCACACACACACACACACACACACACACACACTCATAGCATGTTTTAAGTTACTGGGTAGCCTTGAAAAGCATCCATCTCTCTCTCTAAACTGCCACAACTGTTTCTCATGCCATATATGTGTTTTGTGGGTTTTTTGGGTTTTTTCTAACACCTGATGTTAGTGAAATTGTGGTAATTTTAGAGGTGAAAAATGGGGGAAGATATGGGTTGGGGTTGGCCACCAATTGAAGCTCCACTTAATACCCAAAAAGATGAGCATTGGAGAGAGTATGATAACTCTGTCAATGCTGTTTCTTTTGGGTTTGTTGCCACTGCCATTCTCATTTCCATGTTCTTTGTCATGGCCATCTTTGAGAGGTTTCTCAGACCCACCTCGCCGGCTTCTTCGCTTTCCGGTGGCCGGTACCGGAGAGAAGATGTCGAGTCCCAATTAAGCTTCAATGGAAAGCTTCCTCATCCATCACCCAAAGTGAGTAATACCCTTAATTTCCCTCACTTTATGCACACACACAAACATATATCTACACATACTACTTTTATTTGTGTGGAAAGTACTTAACTATTGTTCTTGGAAAATGATAAAAGTCGTGATCCGTTTTTTTATTATCGACCAATGTGTCAATGGTTGAACTAAACAAATTAAAAGGAGAGAAACTAATTTATTGATTAATGTGTAAGAGTTCTTGTTGGACACTGTTTATTGGACAAGGTTTTGTTCATGTGAGCTGAGAGAGTGATTATTTCTTCTGTCATTGTTTGGTTATTTAGATGATTATTTTGGCAGTGTTACAGTTAGTGATGATTGCTGCCCTGACAAAGTTACTTTTCCCTCTCTCTCTATCTCTATATATATAGATATATATGTATATATGCACTTTGGTTAGCTTGCTAAGAATTGTGATTGACAGTGGTGATTGGTGAATTTACAAGTTTTAAAGTCTTGGTTCCACTTCTTCAACCTAATCTTTTTTCCTAATGATATTTTGCAATTTTCCCCTTATGTTAAATTTTAGGTTTCTAACAATCTATTTGTGTATTTATGGAGCAACTGCATTTGGGCTTCTTTATTGCCCTTTGTGTGTGTGTCTAACTTCATAGCTTTTCCTTCTTCTTTTTTTCCCTTTATTGTGATACTTTTCAATCCAAATTTTATTTGTCCCCAAAAAGAATTCACAACATTTTCTTTTTTGGGTAATTAATAATTCACAACATTTGTATGTTATAAGAAATTGTTCATCTTATAAACTATATATATATATATATATATATATATATGTATGTATGTATCTATGTATGTATGTATGTATGTATCCATATATGCCTATATATCATCCTTATTGCTTGCTTTCTATTTACATGCTTACCTTTTGGTAACTCTGCTTAGTAAAAGAGAGTATCTTTGTTTTTGTAAAATCAGTTAATTCTTTTTTGTTTAGTTAACTCCATTTTTCACCGAGTTTCATCATTTTACTACCAAATGATTAGTCTATATAAAACTAAATCTTGATTTTGACATTGATATACACAAACTTGTTCGCGACTCATAATAAACTTTGTACTCGGTAGTAATAAAACCATGTTGATAAAAACAAAAGCATCCCAAAAACTATTCTTGATGTTTATCTTTTAATTAAATATGCATGTGCATGTTCCCTTCAAAATTTGGGACATTTGGAAACTGCTCTGTCTCTCAATTAAATAGCCCATCCAGAAAGTTGCTTGCTGGTTGATTGGTCCCAATTAAAGATTCTGAATATGCTTATATATGCATAATTCTACTGTTTAGCCCCACCACTGGACATGCTATCCATTTAGGCCCATCACTACCAATATTTATGGTGCCCAGCGTGGCCAGCAACACGGTGGGGGACAGCCCGTCAACCCTTCTTTGTGGGCAAGTCTTCGTTTACTGTCTTCTTTCCAGCTTTAAATGTATATCTAACTAGCTTCATTAAACAAAAACCGCTATTGAATTATTGTAGAACCTTGTCTATCATGTTATAGTTTTTTTTTTATATATAAAAAGAATTATAGTGGAAATTTTATATGATGCAAGAAATGGTTCTATGTGCACCTTTATATTTATTAATTCATGAGATGATGGGTTGTATCTTTAGAAGAAACCATTCTTGGCCCTTTTTGAAACAGAGACTGCTGCAAAAGAGCTGTTTTCTAATATTGCCATTCAGTTAAATTGGACCTCATAGGTGTGTTGTAGCTTAAAATGTTGTTCACTTTCAACCTTCCAATGATGTTGAATTTAGGTTTTCCACTCTTAGAGCGAATGATTAGTGTTTTTCAAATAAAAGTGAAGTATAATCTAGAGTTTCTGAAATAAATCCACTTTAAGCAGATTATGTGGTGGACCATTGCTGATTTGTGGCACCAAAAGGTCAGACACTTGTGTATCACACGAGTGATATTTGTTAATCTGCATAAAAAAACGTGGTTAGGTAAACAGATACTTTGAACCATGTAATTTTACTATATAAAATGTGTGGCTCAAATATGCTGATTGTTGACCTAAAATAGTATCTTAGCTGAGACCCTTTTGTCATTGGTCTAAATCACCCAACATAATTGTCCTTGGAGTCGGAGTCCCTCTCGATCTCTTTCAGGTTTTTCTTCATAACTAAAAATAGATTTGCATAATTGTAGAGCGTAAGACTGAAAAGTTCTCATCAATACACCAACAAATTTAAAACTTATGAATAATCTATGTTACATGACTCGGGTACGTGTGTCAACTAGAAATAAAGTCCGAGACTGTATCTCTTAGTTTAGTCCCTCTCAAGAAATCTTGGATACAAAAGCTTAGATGAAAATGGCCTGCATACAGTTTTTCTAAGCAAAAACTGTCCCATGTGTAGATGTTGATCCAATTAATAGAAAAATGTCCTCCTCATATTTATATCATTATCCTCTCAGCATCTACCATTTATAACCATTATATATGAACAAAAAAGTCAAATATGCTGTCAGTTCTTGAGATAATGTTACTACCTATCCAAAATTCCACAAGATCGAAACAGCACCCTTTTGTTGGTTTAAATTAATGTGTCAATTTTTGGCTGCTTCTAGTGTCTTATATTTTATTCTTTTTAGTTTCCAAGAAAACTGTACCATTGAGGAGTTCATCAATCATTCATTGCATCTGATTTGTCTTGTATGACCCCATGTCCAGATTTAAATGATTATGACTTCGCATTGATTCGATTCACGGGTTAGTGAATCTAGCTACAGTTTAATGTCTCTATCCTTCTTTTACTTTCAGAAGATATTATGCATTCAAAATGGCAGACAAAAGTAGTATTAGCTGTGAAGATTAATTATTCAATAATATTGATCTCTGGTGTAGGAGATTTCCTATTCAATTCATTAATCTTGTTCTATTCACTTTTGAGGTCCTGGTTGGTTTGCAAATTTAACTGTGGTAGTGAAAGTTGCTAATCATTTATGTAGGACAGATTAATACATTTTCCCCGGTGCATGATATTGTTGTTGTGAGTTTTCGTTTTTACCTGTGAAAACTAGAAATCCTACCTTTTGCGCTTACTAATGTTTAGTAATTATCAGAAAGTATGGTTCTGGTTTAGGATCTATTATCAGAAAGTATGCTTCTGGGTTAGAAATTAAGTGGCTCATGATCCATACCATTGACCAAATTGGTGTGACCTCTCTTTAAGTTTTTTGTCGACCTTTTTTCCGTGATACTAGCCATGTGCAAGGTTAGGAAAAACTTGATATGTGGCCTCGGGCAACCTAACATTCTTAAGGCTGTCTAACGCTTGTGATTCAATAGAGGTGTAAACTATATCAATGTGCAGCCATGTTTTCCTAGGCTTGCAATGGTCATCTTGCTATTTTTATTAAAAAACAAGTACTGTTATAAATAAGTTTGGATGGGATAACTCGATAAATGAACTCAGAAGCTATATAATTGATTACTCAACACTATGAAAAAAATTATTGATAACTGAACATTTGGTATGGAAGGACGATAATGTAGAACTTCTAAAATCCACCTACAGTTATGAAGAAGAGCTCTGTGTGTGTGTGCGCAAGTGCACACGCGTGTTCACACAACGAGGTATGGTGAGAAGTGGCAAACTACACACAATACGTAAGACATGCGTAGTGGATTACAAATGAGGCATTTAATTTCTTGGTCAAAATCTGGCATTTTGATAAATGTAATCCTTTCTATGTTTAACAGCAAGTCATTTGATTATTTTTTTTTTCATTCTCACAAATAATTAATTCCATTATGTTTGTTAATACATGCTGAATATTACTTGAAATTCATTCCTTAACGATCCAAAAGTCGTATGAATTGTTGAATGGCTTGGTGGATATATGGAATGGAATCTTGCTTGGGTTTAACATTCTACTCTATTCCACTGTTAGTGAGTAATTAACTTCGCTTGACCTTCGATTCACCCCATCTCATCTGATCTTCATCTATGATTGTTGCAGTGTCTGTAGCATTTGCAAGAGCATGTTGCTACTGCTTCTCACTCTTCTATATACATGAAAAGGAAATATATGATTCTTGTGATCTGCATTAAAAAAAAAAAATGAACTGTCTTTTAACTTCTTTCTAATTAGTAGTGTTATATTAAGTATGAATTTCTCATATTTAATACGGCTCCAAGCCAAATTCTGTGACAACACTTTCTAAGTTTTATTTGATCAATTTTTGTCATTTATTTCTTCAGGTATCTGTGAATGCCAGAGAAGTCTCAGTGTTGATGCCCGGAGAAGATGTTCCCACCTTCATTGCCCACCCGACTCCCATGCCTTGCCCTCCCGAACGCGTCCCATGGCCTTCCCATCAACATATTGTTCAATCGCCAAGTTTCACCCCAAACTCAAGCTCAACCTGAAAGAACCAAACATCGGAAATGCCTCCATAAAACTGTATTCAATATCATGGGCCGAACTTTTGCAGAGGACATGCATTACTATAGATGCACAAGCTGGAGGTTGTCATCTGAAAAATAGGTCCTTTTTCACCATCAGAGTCACTTGAATTTATGTACATAGACAGGGCAAGCTAGCTTCGATATGTCGGAAGAACCACCAATGAAATAGCGAGCAAGGCTTTAGCTTGCATGCACTATTATTTTCATATGTTCCATAGTTTTCAGATATTCCAGATGTGACTTTGCAAGAAAATGAAGGAATGGTGTTTGATGTTGGGTAGAGGGGTAAAACATTGATTGTCTTTTATCTTTTTGGTTGGTCATTGCAAGTACTCACACTTTCATAGATATCAATGGAATTGTAACTATAATATTCAATCAGCACCAAGAAAAACACAAGAAGCTCAAGATTTCTTCTTTTTGAGCCGAATTAGGGCTGGGCGACAAGTTCAAACTCAATTCGTTTGGGGCCCTAATTATACATGCGCAATGGTGTGAAAAATTTGTGGGTGCTGGTTATAAGAGGTGTGTTATTAGGGAATTAATTTTAATTAGGGATGGATAATTTAATATCAACCACCACAATTTGACAAGTTTTCAAGGGATTGTTGAGGGAGTTAATAATAGTGTTTTATTTGACAAGTCCAATTTAATAATAAGCAGATATTATAGGAATTCTTTTAAGTGCTAAAAGTGCCAAATATATATATATAAACCTACAAAAGACAATTATATTAATGAATTGTCCTATTGTAAGATTGAATTTTGAAATTCCCACCTTAAAACATTCATTTCTTCTGGATTGGGTTTAGAAGGCTTTCCATTTTGTTTGCTTGGAAACGACAAAGAAACAGTCCAACCCAACTGATAGTGCCTCTCTATGTAAATATATATATATATATATATATATATATATATATATATGGCCACCAAGAAATTTTTTTTAACGGCTCTGTTTCGATTAAAAAGAGGACCACACGAACCCACCAACGGCTACAAAATAAATTTACCGCCACCCTATTCCAAAAATTCAAGCCTTCTGTAAAAGGCATCATATCTTTCAATATTTATCAAATATCTGACTGCGAGTGATTACATGCATCTATTGGGATCGATCAGTAATACTTACGCCGAACACTGGTAATGAATTGTTTAATAAAATAATTTTTAATTAATTATTTATACTAAATACAACTAAGTAGAAAGTTCCATTTTCATATTTGTTGTTTGTTATATAATTGACCAATTAAAGAGTAAGTTTAACAACTCACTACAACTATTTGCGAGAAAAAAAACCCTCGACAACATAATTTTTTAGAGAAAGTGTTTGAAAAGTAAAATGCCATTCAAATTTATGTCAATTCCCATATAGTATCACAAATTTCTATCGTTCCCATATATGTTGTGAATCCATAATTATTCATAACTGTAATGTCAATATTTTAGGATAAAATTCACTTTACTTTTTATAAGGTTTGTCAATATCTTATATAAATCTCTCTACGTTTCATAATATCACTTCTTCTACTTCTTCCGGTCAGTGCTTGTCGTTGCACCAGGAGTTGCAGGTGCTAAAAGTGGGTGTTTTGTATCCATTGAGCAAAGACTATTTCTAATTGTATAGCGGTGTCTAAAAACAATGTTGCTTCTGCTGAGAAATAATTCACTGAGTTATATCATCATAACAGAACAGAATAAGATTGTCATCTAACTTGGTAAGAGTAATGTATTATTTTACTATTTTACCCATAAATTATATGATGTTTTAATGTCATTTTAGGCATTAGATGGACACAACTGACATCATATCTATTTTTATAATCTCAATTACGTCCAAAGTTTGTCTCGGTCAAGTGCCTCAAGAAAGAATGTGTAACATAAACCATAATCATAGAAGAATTAAGTGGAATTATAAACCATAAGAAAAGAATTAAGTGGAAATTTTTTTTTTTTTTTCGGAAGTTAATTAAGTGGAATTATAAACCATTAGAAAGGTAAGTATTTTATTTTGACTTTTAACAAATAAGTGTATCAATTAAATGACAAACCTTGACTTGATTGATTTAACTGTCGTTCTCGAAAGTTGTGTGACGGAGATTTAAGCCCCATGTTACTTCCACGCTCCAAATTTCACTCGTCACATGACCCTACAAGTAACTAATACTTTGTGCACCTAAAACGCCTATCCACCGATCAGCACGAGATTTTTTTTCTTTGTTTTAATTTGAGTGGATGGTTTTCGTACCATAGTCATTAATGACTCGCAAAACTATTCAAATTTTTTATTTTGGACCATGTGTATCTCCATCATATAATTAATGCACAATTCAAATTAAGATTATGATTTAAAAGTGAGACTTAAAAGCTTATTTTTCTAAATCTCTGCCAATATGAACAACTATCCAACTAATTTGACAGTGCAAATGATTTAACCTAATTTATAACCCAATTTATTTGAACTCAGTTTATTGTTTGTGAACTTAATTTAGGATTATAACCAACTAAAAAAACTGAATTTGAATTCGAATTTGACTCATTGTTATTTTGAAAAGCTTGGACTCAACTCGATTAAAAACAAAATTTGTTAAAATTTAATTTAAGTTTTGTGTTTAACATCATTTTTGGTTTGTTAAGGAACTTATGCAAACCTACAGAATTCAAAGTTTATGTCTATATCTGTCTATATTGACTTTATTGACAGACCTACAAGAACATCATACACATTGCATTAACAAGCCATTATCGATGAAGAAAACACATGTTGATTAATGACAACACTTCAATATCTACGTAGTATGATTGATGACCCAAAAAGGACGTGAGCAGAAGTCATTTTTGTCCACAACATTGCCACAAAATTACAGTTCTTACCAGGGAATGCCCTATAGGAATATGAAACATTCTAAGGACACAAGTGGATTTTCCAGTGACTCGCTCGTCGTCGACGTCGGGCCCTCTCTACCCGACTCCTCCACCTTCTGGATCTTCCCACTCATTTCGGATCTAACCCGATCCGGAGACTTCCTCGCCGACGGCATCTCACCCACACCTGACCGTTTCCCCCCGACGTCCGTCCGAGTAGCAGGTGACCTCGATCTCCTCCCGGGATTGTCTCCGGAGACCCGCCGTTGTCCTTTGGTTACCAACCCACGCCTGTCTTTGGAAATCACGGGTCTGACCCGACCCGGGGACGCTTCGGATTTCCTCGTCGGAGACTTACCCACCAACCTCTCTTTCCTAGCCGGAACATCACCGGTAAATGACCGGTTTCTGAATTTCGCCGGTGACCTATTTACCACCCTCTGCCGAACCTCGCCGTCGTCATCTTCGTCGTCTCTTTTATCGGTAAACGTGGTCGTAGACACGGTTTCGCTGAAACTACAGATCTCAGAGACCTCGGAGATGTCCTCTGTGGTCATCAATGGAGGGTTCTTGTCGACATTGTTGTGTTTGGCCGTAGTTTTTTCGTCTTCGTCTTCGAACTTGGGGACAGGAGGTTTGCGGGTCGGAGTCTCGGACAGCACTTCCTTGACCGTCTCTTCTTCCAATGGCGGAGGCGGTGGTGCTCTGCTTGGCTTCTCGGATCTCGATGAATGCCGGTGGCTGTGTGGAGCTGAGGAAGGCTTGTTGGTGGTGCTGAGGCAGCAACCCATTTGGGTTTATAGTAAATTAGTTAGTGATTGAGAAATGGGTTTTTTTTACATTGTTCTGTGGTGGAATTGGGTGGTGGTTGACGGCGGTTTCCGGCGAGGTTAGTGGGTTGGGAGGACAACAGGAGAAGAGAGCACTGAAGTTGGGGAGTGGTGAGAATGGAACGGGTGCATTTATTGAGAGATTTCCGAAGTTGTAGACTAAAACAGTTAATGCTGGTTAAAGCACCTCCATTTTATCTCTAAAGTTCTCAACAGAAGTCTAAAGAAATTTTCTTTTTCATTCACTTTTTATTTGTTTATTTCTTTTTATATCTTGACAAATTTTACAACAACATAACTTGAATCCACTGTTTTGTCACTTTCAAAGGTTGGGGAGACAGTACAAGATTACACCCTTTGTCAATTATATGATTTTTTTATTTGCATTGTTTAGTCAAATTATTTTATCTTCTCGAGTAATGTAACTTTAAAAAAGGAAGAGTTATTTATAAATTTTGATTGGTTTTTTTTATTATTATAAATTTTTATTTATTTATATATATCTTTTAAAAACAAATAATTCTTCTAATTTGGTGATTTTTGATACACCAAAATAAAAATACCAAATGTGTACAATAACAAACAAATCATGTATATTACTTACATCGAATGCTTTCTGACTTGCAAGAGAATCGAACTAAGGACAAAAACAAGAATAATTTATTCATTTCCTCTTTCCATTTCTCTTCTTTTTATTATTATTATTGTTTTATATTTTAGTCTCGTAAAATTATTTTTCATAATACCCATCACAAAAGTTTGTCATAAATTCAATACAACTTATTACACTGTACATTTATGAATTCAAAGGATATTTCGTAAAATTAGATTTTCACTGAGTTTTGATTTCATGAAGTGGGATTAAGCATTAATGTACTTCAAATTGAGCATGTCAATAACTATCTTGATAAATCACACCAATTTGGCAAAAAAAAAAAAAAAAAAAAAAAGATAAATCACACCAACCTTGCTTATCAAATATAATGGATTTTGTCCATAAAATAAAAAAATAAATTAAAAAGAAAAAGAAAAATAAAAAAAGAAGAAAGAAGGTATTAATGGATCTTGTCATTTTACTATCTTCTCCTTAAGTTAATAAGTTATTTTAATATTTTTCTTTCTTAAAAAAAACAAGAAGAAAAGAAAAATATTAAAACTATTAAGTCTATTTTCCGAGTGCAAGGCCATCTTTCTTTCTTGGGGACTTTAACTGGGCTTCCCGCTAATGTTTTTTGGTAAATTTTGACCTGTGGGCTTGGGACTATTGGGCTTCTGAGCCTTGATAACCTTGGGCTCAGTTCTAATTATATTATTTGTATACACACCATAATACCCATATGACAATATGAGCAATAAATTTCAACCTACATGAAATTGTTTTTGAACTAGAAGGCCTACAATGTTTGTTAATCGTATTGTCTACAAAATTTTAATATTTGATAATATGTCTACAAATTCATAGCAATTATCTCACGCTTGATTATTTGAACTATGAAATTTTGTGCCTATTATGTGTACTAAAAATGACATTAATTTGGTGCACAGACATGGAGCTCAATGTAGGAAATGAATTAGGCTTAGAGCAATTCGTGTTGGGTTTTTCGTTGTGCACCAAAACGACACTGTTTTAATGCACGATAAGGACACAAGATCCCCTCCACACAGCACGGACACAAGGTCCGTGAACTATTCAGCAAATTTATTTTCTCTTTCCTTTTAGGGTAATCACATACATGTATCAAACATGTTCTTCTAACAATAATATATTACGGATTAATATAATAATTAAATTTTGAATTAAAAAATCATGAATAATTTATATATTATATTTATACCTAAACATGAGAATGTATAAACTAAAGAAGAAGCTTAGAAGTAATCTTGATATTGGGCATCGGAGTGTTGGGCTTCAAAGTTCAAAGAGCACAAAAAGTGGGCCTGTGGTTGGAGCCTAGATGATGTTTGGCGCAGTTCTAACTAGTTCAAACAATTGTTATCATGATCTAATTAATTTTTATAAATAATATTCTTTGAATTTGGCTAGATAATTAATAATTTTGTTTTTAGTCAATGGATATTAATTTCGATCTAAGTCACGTAAAGCAGAAACAGGAGTGAGAGCTAATTTGCGGGAGCGCGAAAACGGTAAAATTAAGTCACAAATAGTAATAGTAGAAGTGAAAACGTGCGGAGAGTAAGAGCGACATCTGTTGAAAATGATTGTGTGATTTAGGTTAAGGTCATATGATTCCGACTTTCTAATAAAGAGGTCAAGTATCGGAGTCTTTTTACAGACAATATTACCAGCCAAGTGTATGAACCATACTAGGAACAATATTGCAATAGGTAAATCAAAAGATAAGCGGGAGAAAAATTATACCATACCTAGATTGAAAAGTGCTGTTTGTGAAGAGAGAACTCTCTTTATTCATCATTGCCATTCAAAAATTTATTAAATGATTTATTTAATTTTTTATAAATCTTAAAATATTATTTATAAGGAGAGCTGATGACTCATAAAAAAATCTTTTTATAACATTACTCAAAGTAATATTATATTGACCATGCATTGAATAATCATCATGCGTGCACATCTAGTTTTTTTCTTTGCAACGTTATTGAATCCTTTGATTTTTGTTGCCTTTGCCTTTTCAAGCTATGTATTTTTTTATAATATATATATATATATATATATATATATATATACACACACACACATACATATATTTGGCGCTTGAAAAGAATTGGGTCAACCTACTTAAATAATTTCGTTTGTTTACTGACATGTTTTATGTGCCGTGGCAATTTTTTAGTTACAAAAACACAAAATTTTCACTCAGTTTTAAAACATTTTTCATATTCTTATCTAATAAGTAACATATTATTTTTTTTTTTATGCTTAACAATAATTGGGTCAAGGCTCTAAGACATTTTCATTACTCTAATGACATGTTTTACATGAAATAACAATTTTTAGTAAATAAAAAATTTTCTCTCAATTTTAAAACATTTTTCATATTCTTCTGTAATAACATACCGAACAGATGTGTCATGCAAAATTTCAATACCTTAAATTGTTTATTATTTTAAGATAAAATGATTGAGAGCCACCTTTCGGAAGACGCATACTAATATTTGATTGGGTAAGAATGAAAAAACTTAGATCGAAGCAAAACATTATATAGGTAAGAGATATTTTCTGCTTTATTGGATAGAAGAGAAGGAAGATAATTACTAAAACTTTACGTTGTTTATTATGAAAAAAATAAATAAAAAAATAAATAAAGATGTTACCAAATTAAATAAGTCCAATAAATAAATAAACCAAATTAAATTAGTCCAATAAATAAATAAATTATGATGACTAAAGGATCAGTAGTCCAACGTATCAAGTCCTTACTTTTAAAAGGAAGATTAGAAATTCAAGTCTCAGTGGATTCATACATAGGTATGTGAACTAGGGCTGCAAGTTGTGCTGGCTCAACCCAGCCCAGTCCCAACCCAACCTCAATCCGAATCCGGTTGGATTGGACTGGCCCGAATTGTACCCAATATGGGTTATGGTAAAACCCAATTCGAATATTTTCAGGCTGGTCGAGTCGGGTTGACGGGCTGAGTTTTTTTATTTTTTATTTTTATATATATCGAAAATTTATACATATTTGATACATATATATATATATTATATATTTGATTATATTATTATTAAAAAACAAAATATTTTTAGAGCAAATCATTTCAGCCTCCCTAATCGCCTCCATCTTCTTTATACTCGTTCTCAACTCTGAACTTGCCCTCTCTCTCTCTCTCTGTCTGTGTGCGCAATTGCAAACTACAAAATCTACAAGAATCAGAAGTTCAAAACCCATATATTTCAATTTATCTATATCAAAAGTTCAAAACCCATATCGGCATATCATTTCAATTTGTTCAAAAAATCAAAACCCATATCTTTCAGTTTCCATCGCCTGCTGTTCCAGTTCGGGTTTGCTGTTCGCAAGCTTCAACAAATCATTTCAGCCTCCCCAATTGCCTCCATCTTCTTTATACTCGTTCTCAACTCATTCTCAAGCTTCAGCAGAGGGGACAGCAACGGAGAGAGAAAGAGAAAGGAGAAAAAAAAAATTATTTTATTTTGGGTTTTGGGTTGGCTTTGGGTTGAGCCCGAGGCTAACCCGAATATGTTTGGGTTTTGTCAAAATCCAACCCGAACATGAGTCCGATTTATGAATTTAAAACCAAAATTTCAAAATTCTTGGGTTAGGGTTGGGTTGGGCTGGGCTGGGCTGGGTTAGCCCGCCCAAGTTGTAGCCCTAATGTTAGATAAGAAAATGCATATTCCAATCATTTTTTTGTTTGGTATGCAATTTAAATTGGGAATGATTGTTCCATTGTAATTAAAATTCATTCCATAACTAAACCTTAGTCTTTTCATTCTTAAGTTAATTTTTTTAAAAAAATCAAATGCCCAAAAAAACTTTCATGTTCCACGTCCAAAAGCTGCCGCCACAACCCTTCACCATCACTACCTCCATTGCCTTTTACCACCGTTACTACCAGTGTCACCATTATTGCCACATTTAACCACCACCGCTGCCGCGTTCACCCTCTACCACTGTAACCGCCACCACCGACTTCGACCATCGCCTTCCACCACCATTATCGCCACTACCGACTTCGACTATCGCTTCCACCACTACCAGCTTCGACCACCGCCACCTGCATTGACTTTCACTACTATCATTACCACCGCCACTGCCACCGCCGTCTTCCACCATTACTGCCTTTCACATACACCACCTTCACCATTGTCATTGCCACTGCTATTACGGCCACCGCCTTTCACTACCAACCGCAACGTTAGAGGTTTAAATATTCACTGTGTGCCATATTGCTACAAGCGTGGGTATGGCATGATGACGGTCAACCCATTTCTTATTTCTTAGTTTTAGTATTTATAAGAAGTTTATATATTGTAATGTAATGTCGGATAAGGACGGTGCCAAAACAAATTGGACGGTGAGGTGAGGACAAAGAAACAAGCTGTGCACACATGAATTACCAGTAGTAAAAGTGAGCCAAGGTTTTAAATTCTTTAATTTAACATTGTGCTTTTTTGGATAATTGTTCGTAAAATTGCTTTTTTGGATAATTAGTAGAGAAATAATAATAATAATTTATTGATACATACTTATGTCAACATGTGATTGACAATTACAGACAAAAAGACTAATGATGATTTCTGCTATTTGGATAGATTCAAAAACTTAAAGTTTAATCTACATTGGTCTTTTATACAATTAACACAAATACATATGTTGAAGGTTGGAGGAATCTCATTACAGTCATTTGTAGATAATTTTTTCAATAAGTATTTGGTATACATGGGACAGAGGGATTTCGTGTGTCTGAAGCACGGTTCGTAATGTCAATTACAGTCGCAATATAATGAATTCGAACAAAATTAACGTAAATTATCTGATACAAAAATGTATAGAACTTAAAAAGAGTCGCATATTAAACGATATTGCGAACCATAATACGAAATAAAATATATATTTTTCTTTTAACCTGTCTCGAGTAAACATGAGGTGCTAAAAACAGTTCAACACAGCTAACTTGAAAACCAAAAAATAAAAAATAAAAGATAAAATTTGAGAGAGATGAATGGGATGTTCAATGAATGAATGGTGCAGTGACGACATATTTAATTCAAAGAAATATATGAGTGTCCTTGTATGAAGCCACGGTTGATGAGAAAGGTCCGGGTCCATTTATCTGTTATTTAATACTCCTTACAAAAGTAGATGCGAAATTGAGTCGTGTTGAAAGTAGAAACATTCTTTTATCCTCAAACTAGAGTCCTCCTTGGAATTGACCTGCACGGTTCCACCAACCTAATGATTTCACATAATTACATGTAATAATAACATATATTAATTTGCTTATGCATGTTATATATATATATATATATATATAGACTATATAAATATAAATACAATAATTAAGAGCTCGTCAAAGCCTGACCAAAGTTTATTAAAAGCACAATTTTTACTGAAATTTTTTATTATTACATTTTATATCTTTAAATTTATATATTTTTACATTTATACACTTAAAATTTTAAAATTACCTTCACCGAATTATGAAAAAATATCTCTATATAAATTTGCTCCTCTCATGTGAATTTCTAAATCCGTCCCCGGCGATATATACAATTAAAAACGGACTTATTTAAGGATCAACTTTATTTTTTATTAAAACGTATGAGAATTTTTTTTTTAATTTTTACTGATCAAGTTGGTGTTCTTGACATTCAAGCTTCAAATTGAGAGATAATATTAACATGGGTTTTTGACATTGTATCAACGTGTTGCTTTGGCGATGAATTTTGGAATTCAATTTTATTAAATATTGGATGGGGAGCTGTTCAGCTCATCATTTTGTTTTTGCACTCAAGTCAGAAATCACAGTCCATAATATATATTTAACTGTGGCATACAGTCCCTTAATTGAGAATGCAAGCTTAACATCATTGTAAATTATTAATTTCTCTATATGTCATGTCATGTTATGATTTAGAATCATAACTCATAAGGTGGACCACATGTCCCATAAAACTTGGATTACTTGGGGAGATTTGTATATAGTTGGATTTCAATTTATGGTATTAAGTGATTTCATTAGTATTTACATTTTATTTGGTGTGTTTTCTCTAGTCGAGAAAAGGGAGAAATGCCACTGATTCTCAGTTTATAGAGTTGCACATGGATTCATTATTTTTGTTTTTATCTTTAAACATAGGAATTGTTTACATCATTTTCATTTTTTTTTTTTTTTGTTTTTGTTTTGGCTAATTATTTTCAATCTAAAATACATTTGGTTGCTAACCCTTTTTAAAGGAGGATAAAAATTTCATTGCATCTGTTGTATGGTGAAGAGGGTGCATTCGGATCGTCCGTGTGTATCATACGCGTAGTAATAAACGGTTGAATATGTCCATTGTATAATGCAACAGGTGTAAAGAAAATTTTCTTATAAAAGGTGATTTTCTTTTTATGCACCAAACAAAATTTTTCCTAAAAAAAATTTAAAAATCTAATGATCTAAAAAACTAGAATTCAATCTCAAACTATTCATTGTGAAGTCAAAAGTTTATTATTATTATTATTATTATCCAGTTACCTTAAAATAAAGGATAGTACTTTATTGCTCTAGTTGTATTAGTGATATAGTATTACTAATTAATTAAACACTAAAATTTAATAATGTAATAATATATAATTAGTTGATAATACACGCGCAAGTCTTTATAAAAAAACAGGGCAGTGCTCATTTTGTTTCTATACAGATGAAAGTAAAAGCAGTAGGAATACTACAAACACTACTTTTGATCGCTTATTTATTCTTATTTTATAAATAGAGATATATTTTTTTGAATTTTTTAACTTTTCAAATTCACAGTACATCTCTCACTTATTAGAAAATAATTAACTTAAGACGTGATTAAAATTTTGCCCTCCCTTAAATATGTGTTTCTAATACAAAAAATACTCAGGTAATTTTCTTCATAATACATTTTTCATCATTTTGTCACATGAAACAAGAGCTATCAGATTAAGGTCTTGCTACATTTCATATGATTTGATGAAGGTGCATTGATCTATATAGTATATACTAGTATAATATTTTAATAGTAAATTTGATTGTAAGTACAAATTTATTAATGACTAGATTTCACTTCACCAAATCAAATTTCTAATTTTCTTGAAATTGTAGTCTTGGAATTAATTAAGTGGAATTAGAGTCTTTGAATTAATCAGGTGAAATTGGAAAAAAATTTAATTCATTTTTCTGTAACTTTGGACTAAACTTTTCTTCAATTCAACAAATTTCAATTCTCTAAAGCTTCAATTCAACATAGCCAATCATGATATTTTAATGAATTGCTTAGACGGAATCATATTACAATTACCAACTAACATTATGGACATTACTAAGCATCTTTGTTAACTTATGAAAGACTATTACAATTACCAACTAACATTATGGACATTACTAAGCATCTTTGTTAACTTATGAAAGACACGTAAAAAAAAAAAAAAAACCAAGAATCATATTACATCAATTTTTTTTTTTTTTTTTTTTGTCAACACCATTTAAAAAAACCAAGAATCATATTACATCATTTTTTTTTGTTAACCATCACTATCAAGGACCATAGCCAATTAGTATTTGCTCTACTTTTTTTAGATGACATGAGAGAACTATCAAAACTTTTCGTATAATGGATAAGCACGGCCTAAATACCAAATGGGATAACCTCCTCCTCTATTTTTCTGAAAAAAAAATAAAAAGAGTCGAGAGTTCAACCTGTTGCAAAAATAAATAGATGCACGAGTTTTTTTTGCGGTGAAAAAGTAAAATAAAATAAAAAGCAGGGCTCAAACAAGCCCCACCCTAAGTGCAAAAAACATTTCTTAGTCGTGCAAAAGACTTCAACCAAGGTCTCTGCCCAAGTATCATTCTCATTAAAATAACATACTGATGAATAGTTTTAGTGCCATTGAAAGCAAAAAGGTGTGATTTATTTTTATTTTTTTGGTCATAGGTTAAAAAAAGAACAGTTATTTCTTAAAAAAAATTCATACAATTACATTAAAAAAGAAGAAGTTATTAGTGAATTATTTATACAAATTTGAGTTGGCACAGTCCTAAAATAATATAAACAAATAAACCATGACCACTAGAGTTTTGTTTTGGCTTTTTTTCTTTTTCCCTTGGTAATGTTGACCATTATGGTTTAGTTGTGGTTAAGGTGTATTTGTCAGCACACACAAAAAAACAGCCAAAATAATAATATAATATAAATTAAATTAAAACAAAGATTCTGTGGCTGGTAGGTCACAAAAATTGGCACATCACTGGTTTTTTTTGGGGTCATTTTAACAACTGATCCACCCAAGAAGAAAAGGGTAATTTCGTCCGAAAAGAGTACACAGTAGAGAATAACCTCAATTCAATCATGGCTTAAATTTCCAGTTCTGTAGACGCTCTTCTCTTTTCTCTCTCTAGACTCTCTCTCTCTCTCTCTCTCTCTCTCTAAACCATTCCAACGCTTCTCCCCAAAAGCATAAAACAACAACTTTCCCACTGTTGAATCCTCAATTGCAATCTGAACCAGATTCCTATCTTTCTCGGTGGATTTGTATATAAAGCCTATAGATATAGAAATTGTATCTATCTCTTCAACCATTCTCGCTTTCTTAAGTTGGGGTCTCAATTCAGCTAAATTCTGAGTCTTGTCATCAGAACAACAACGACGACGCTTCGTTCTTCAATCTTGTTTCTTTCAAATGGCGAAGCGTGGATATAAATTGCGTATCCTTTTCACACAAATTTTGTTTTGTTTTGTTTTATTATATTGAAATGCTTTAGCTCAGATGAGCTCAATTTTCTGAATTCTTGATATAATTTTAGGGTTTATTGTTACTTGTTGATTATCTGAACTATATTTCCACTACCCATCATAGAGGATTTATGCTTTACGTTTGTTTGGTTCCCGGCAAAAAAAGGGGAAGAAAGTTAAAGATTTATTTACAAGTTTCATGCTTTTAGTTGCTTTTGATTCTTAAAATTGACGAGCTCAGATCAACTAAGACGGGATGTTCAACTAGGGACTGTTTGGAGGAACTAAAAATCTGAAGTTAATTGGTTAAAATTATTTTCTTTTTCCTGCATTTTCTTAGCAACCCAGATGAGGATATACAGTATTTGAGCTTAGCAGTTTATGCAACTAGTTGGGTTTTGTGCTTGTGTTGTTTCTAGTATCTACTTGATGCGTTTGGTTTTCTTGACTAAGTTGAATGTAGAGGAGTTTGTGGCCCATTCTGGGAGTGTAAACTGTCTAAATATTGGGAAGAAGACATGCCGACTTTTTATTACCGGAGGAGACGATCAAAAAGTGAATCTTTGGTCGATTGGCAAACCGACATCTTTGATGGTTAGTTCAAAGTTGAAATTCTTCTTTGAACTTAGATCAAGCTTTGATTTGTTTGGATTTAATAGCTCCATTAGGTGCATTTTGTTACAAGCAGAGGGACTAATTTGGTGTTTGGCATTAGAATAATACGTAATTTGGAATGATTTTGGAAAATATTTGGAAATCGTTCAAAAAAAAAAAAAAATCAGAGTCAAACCTGCAAAGAGAAAAAATCGTATGCCTGTTGCATAAACTTTTTCCACTTGTATTTATCCCAAGTAATTGGTAAACTGCAGAAACAGTTGTTGAGGTACTCCCAGTATTTGATTGATTTGGGTATAAATCAGGAATCACTGAAGTACACCTAAGAATCCCTGTTATTTATTTTGTTAATATATCGGTATAAACTGGGATTTTTGGGTTGAATTTAGATTTTTGTCAATGTGGTTGTGAAGAGTTCTTTCTTGCCGAGTCTTACGTATGTAGCTCATATAAGTGGTCATCATTGCCTTGATCCCATATGATTGGGGTCGGCTCCTTGCATTATATTTAAAATTTTAAAATTATTACTAATTATGCAAATTAGTCTTCCTCATCTTACAGGTGAATCTATAGGTCTTGGTCATATTTATGTCCATAACCCCTAAATCTACTTCCTCTTAATTAGGTAACTTAAAAACTGTACGAATATTTTCCTGTATGCACTATTTCTTTATTACTGTTATTGTGTGGAATCAGCTTCGAGGTCCAATATAAATAAATGACCCAAAAATACACCCTCATTTTACTGTATTATGAACAAATTCATTTTGTGCATAGTATGTTTTTGTTGTTTAAAAGCTATTATAGTCTGGTATCATACCTTCCATGTCTGCATGACTTTATAGGACTGAATGAGTCTGTCCTTTTATGTGATTTTGCAGAGCCTCTGTGGTCACACAAGCCCAGTTGAGTCTGTAACTTTTGATTCGACGGAGGTTTTAGTGGCTTCAGGAGCTTCTACTGGTGTAATAAAGCTTTGGGATTTGGAAGAAACAAAGAGTAAGTTGAGTAATTCTTCATTGCTTAGATAAAAAATTTAAACACTCTGTTATTTTGTTCTGTGCCTGTGAAGTAACATAACGGACCATTAGGAAACTTTCAAATATTGCGAGTCTAATATGGACATTTTACAAATCAAGCATCTTCTTAGTGGGCTTGTTGAAAACCTCCAGTTAATAAATTATAGGTGTAGAATTTCAGCTCCAACTACCAAGTATTTACCTCGTGCGATTAAAACTCTGTTCTTTAGTCTGTTATTAGAACAACAATGGTAATAGTATGCAGCTTGACTCCTAATTTAGTTGTTATTATGCTTGAAGTATAGTGGTTCGCACTCTTACTGGACATAGAGCCAATTGCACTGCCATTGAGTTCCATCCATTTGGTGAGTTTTTTGCATCTGGTTCCATGGACACTAATCTAAAGATCTGGGATATCAGAAAGAAAGGATGTATTCACACATACAAGGGTCATACTAGAGGAATTAGTACCATTAGATTCACTCCTGATGGTCGTTGGGTAGTCTCTGGTGGATTCGATAATGTTGTAAAGGTAATACTGGATCTTGTTATTAGCAGTCTGTTCTGAAATTAGCCTTCTTTCTTTCATAGCTTTGCTCATGGACCCCATCAATGTTGGACAGGTATGGGATCTAACTGCTGGAAAGCTCTTGCACGATTTTAAGTGCCATGAAGGACATATTCGATCCTTAGACTTCCATCCCCTTGAGTTTCTTCTGGCAACAGGTGTGTATGTCACTTTAATGTGGACGAGTTTCTCATTAGGTCATTTATTGTCTACCTAATTTGTGGGTTCTTGGATTAATTGTATATTCATTAGCTTATAGTTTGTTATGCCACAATCTGAAAAATGACACCATATATTCCCATTATTTTACTGTTGGTTTGTTATTTATATGGTGATTGGGCCACTGGTCAGTGTGGTAGTTGAGAGTTGGGCTATCAAGGGCAAGGATGTGCGTTTGAGTTTAGAAACAACCACTGGAGCAAATAATCCCAAAAATTAGGTTTGGGTAAAGAACATCCCATCCAGCATCCTGCATTGGCCAAACCAACATCGAGTAATGGCTTTTTTGTTGTTTATTTGGTGGTAATTAAATCTACACGGAATTACAGAGACCATACACCCCCAGACACCCTTTCAACTTTAAAGGATAAAAGAATCGTGAACCACCAATTCTGGCATCCTACATGCATATGAATTTTTTTTAGATGATGCACCATATAAGGGTTCAACCAAAACTATTCGAACACTTGCCCAGCTGAACAGTTGAGGTGCTGGAATTGCTAAAATTAGGTTTTGTGGTAGCTAGAGCAAGTCTGGTTGCACATGAATTTGATTAAAAATATGCTTTTGCAACTAAATATTCTTCATTAATAATTTCAAGAAAGATTAACATAAAAATTTTTAAACATATAATCTTGAATTATTTTTTGAATAACAAAATTCTTTATCTATTGAGAAGTGATATTCTGTGTTTAAGGTCTGCAAGGAAACTAAATAATTTGTTTGGAGCAATTAGATGTTAATAATACCTAATTAATGTAACTGGACATTGTTTAAAAGTCAATTATATTAGCTTGGCAATTATTATTATTATTTATTGTTGGAGAATATATATATATATATATATTTTGATAAGTAAAATTTTATAGAAGTGCTCAAAAGGGGAGCGGAACCCAAGTTTATTGTTGGAGAATATTATTATAGGAACCTTCAAATTACTAATCAATATTTTATCATAGGCTAAAACCACTCCTATGATATTCTCAAATCAATATTCTGTCAAGGAGTAATTTAAAGGTTCCTATAATAATATTCTCTAACATTTTGATTATTTTATATTATATTGGTGTAGCTAAGACTCACATCTATCATTGCCCCAAATGGGCTTGAACCTTCAACCTCCCATTGGATGAGGAGGAGATAACATTGAGCTTGACACTCGATCATGAGTCAACTAGTAAGTATGGCATCTCTTGTTAAGGGGTGAAGGTCATTTTGGAGGAAGTGATGGGTTTGGGAACTTTTTTGGGTGTTTGGTGGTTTTGCAACTTTTTCTCTGTTGGCAAAAAAATAAGACATGTTTGAATTCTCTTTCTTTGAGAATTGAATGAGCTCAATTTGAACTTGGATAGTAGTTAAAACATGCATAGACATGTCTTGGTCTGTGTCAGTACACACACATACGTCCAAAGCTTTGTTACGCAGTGGTTTGGTGATGACATGGCATCTTTAAGACAGGAGTGGTTTAAAGGTTCCATTCTTATCATTGCTAAAATAAAATGAATAATGATTTATGCACCAAGAGAATGTGCTGACTTCAAAGGTTGAAGCATCTCAAGGCCCTTGGATGCAGTAGAGTGGGACCCTCGGCACATTCTCTGGGTGCATATAGCTCCACAAACAAAATACATGCATATTTATATGCATTTGCATGTGTTTGCTGGTGTCCGCTCGCAAGATTTTCATCCAAAAAAAAACTGTGAATTGGGTTTAGGATATTATTGCCAGAACTGTCAAGTGTTGTTGATTTTACTGTGATTTTACTCAAACCGAAATTTCAGGAAAAAAAAAATATATATATATATATACACACACATGCGCACACGCACGTATAAACTCAAATTTGATTTCTATAGATGCTAGACAATAATTAAGAGGTACTGATCTCAGAATTCCAATGTCTGATAGAGGTACTACTATTCCATTCTTAAAAAGTAAATGAATTAATGGACAAAAACAAAATTTTCAACAAAAAATCACACCGAATGATCAAGTCAAGACTGGAAGTTTCCATATTTAAGTTCTACGTTCCCCTTTATTTAATGCTTCATAACTGTTGGTAATAGAAGGAATGGAAGAGAAATGTGTAAATGCTTGAACAAGATTAATAATGTAAAGGGTTGAATGAGACTTAAGCACTCATTCATAGCTTTGGTATTTATATACTAAAAAGAGCACATGTTAATACACCCTCCGTCCCACAAAAACTGTTCACCTTTTCCATTTTTGGCTGTCCCAATTTAAAATCCAATGTACTATTTTTTTAAATGCCTAATTTACCCTCCTTGCCTTGAATTTATAAATGCAATGACCTCACGTGGACCCACCATAGAAGGGTATATTTGAAAATTCATTCCCTACCATTATGATTAAAAAAAAAAAAAACTACACTCGTAAAAAGTTTAGGTTCCCAAAAATGACCCTTTTTGTGGGACAGAGGGAGTATTAATTAAAAGAAAGGAAACTGAATAAAACCGTTGCATATTTTATGCCTAGATATATGCGTAAATAAAGTCAAATCTCGGCTAATATGGTAAGTTACATTTATGATTCTAGCCTATCATATCTCGGCTAACACTTTCCCTCAAGTTGGTGCGTGGATATCTGAGACGCCCAACTTGGACGCATCCTCAAACACGATCTTTATAAATATATAGCCAATGAATATGGTTGGCTACATTAAATTGACTAGCTAAGACATAACTATGGCATTTTCTCAAACCACTTGGATACGTCTTATCTGACAAAGTTGGTGTCTCTTCAGACCATGAACCTTTAACAATGTCTCCCCATACATAAGCAACCAACCATGTCTCCTCAGACCATAAACAACCGTTACTGTCTCCTCAGACCATTTACCTTCATACACATGTTTAAAATATGTTGATGGAAGAATCGACAATGTCTCCTCGGAACATTCACCTGCATACACATGTTTAAAATATGTAGATGAAAACATCAACAATGTCTCCTCAGACCATCAATAATCAACAATGCCTCTTTACACCATTCCCCTTCATATACATGTTTAAAAATATGTAGATGGAAGAATCACCATGTCTCCTTAGACCACAAACCATGAAAATTGTCTCCTCAGGCGATTCCTGAATGGGTGTTGCTGAACTCGGACCAACTTGGCTTTGGTACCAAGAAGAAATACAAGATAGAAGGAGTAGAAGAGAAATGTATAAATGCTTGAATGAGATTAATAATATGTAAAGACTTATATAAGATTTAAACACTTATTCACTGCTCTGGTATTTATATATTAAAAGGAGCACATGTTAATATTAATTATAAGAAAGGAAATTGAATAAAATCATTACATATTCTATGCCTAAACGTATGCGCAAGTAAAGTCAAATTCCATGATTCTAGCATATCATAACTAGGCTAATATTGTAAATTAAATCCATGATTCTAGCCTATCATATCTAGCTAACAGTAATAAAATATTCTTTTTTTTTTTGTTTTTGAAAATGGGAGACACGTGTGTGGGAGGGTTTGGAAATTCGATGATGGTGAGTGTGACGACCTCTGTGGGCGGGTGCAAGACGCTGGGCGAGCTACCACACAGGTAGGCTACGGGTGTCATGGTCCCACATCGCTTGGGGAAGGCGAAAGTGAAGTGCTATATGTAGGTTCAACACCCTTCTATGATACAACCGCGATGACCGTGAACCCATCAAGACTCTGCAATTAAGCGTGCTTATGCAGGAGTAATACCAGGATGGGTGACCTCCTGGGAAGTCTGGTCTGAGGGACCCAAGAGCGGACAATATTATGTCAGGTAGGGTGAGGGCTGTTACAAATGGTATTAGAGCCGAAATCCAGCTAACAGTGTGGCTAACGAGGATGGTAAAAATGTTTTTGGGGGGGGGGGGGGGGGGGGGGGGGGGGGGGTTTGTGATTGTGAGTTTGTGACGATCTCTGTGGGCGGGTGCGAGACACTGGGCGAGCCACCATACTTGCAGGCTATGGGTGTCATGGTCCCACATCACCTAGGGAAGGTGAAGGTGAAATGCTATATGTAGGTTCAACACCCTTCTATGACATAACGCGTTTTAAAGTTGTGACAACCCATCAAAACTCCGCAGTTAAGCGTGCTTATGCATGAGTAATACCAAGATGGGTGACCTCCTGTGAAGTCTGGTCAGGGGGAGCCAAAAGCGGCCAATATTGTGTCGGGTAGGGTGAGGGCTGTTATAGTGAGCAACTACCTAGTGGTGTTGGTGCTTGGATAGCATTTATATTGTTTTAAGAAACTGATCATCTATTGAAATTTGTACTACTTTTGGGCTGCATGATCATGTTTGTCTAAGTTGTAGTGTGATAATTATATATTTGGAAAATTAACCTTTTATATCGTCCTGTGTTGTTTCCTGTGCATAGTCTGCCAAATCACAAATGTGCTTCAAATCTGAGATTCTGTACTTCATTTGCCCCCTAAAATTGGTATTTTCACTTTCTTGCTGTGGTAAGTTGTACTAACATGCAAATTATTTTCCAGGTTCAGCGGACAGGACCGTAAAATTTTGGGATTTGGAAACTTTTGAGCCGATTGGATCTACCAGACCTGAGGTATTTGAGATTGTGTTTCTAACGTTGTGAATAAATTGTTAGATAAGGAAAAAAAAAATTGTTAGATAAATTATCATTGGATTTATGGTTTGATGTCTTTAAAATTTTCAGTAATAAATTAATAATTAATTACAACTTTCTTACTTGTAAAAAAAAGAAATAATAATAATAATAATTAGAACTTTCTCAATAGAGAAAAAAAAAATCATGTAGATGAAATTAATGATTGTAATGCTTGAGTGGACTCTGAAATACAATTTTTTTCATGCAATTATCTTCTTACTTAATGTAATTTGGTTCCTTCCTTTTTATTTATTTATTTATTTTTATTTAATGCTTAACCTTATCGATCTCTAGCATTCTTTAGGTTTGTGGCATTAGTTATGGTACTAAAAGATGCTGCATTATGAATAACTTGGTTTGTTTTTGACCATTTGGCATATGACTTGTCACTGAGTACTCTTAAAAAATTTAAAATTTTCACGTTCAATCAGCAATAAGGAATATATATATATGTCCCCTTTGAAATGTCAAAGTTCTATTTTTTTGTAATATTACCAATTTAACCTTTTTGCATTGAACTTATAAAAAGTAAACCATGACATCCCTGTGGACCCACTATGGATAGATTTGGTAATTCATTCAGCTGCCAATACAACAAAAAAAATATTAAAACTCATCCTCTTAAAAAGTTATATTCCCGAAAAGGGACATTTATTTGGAGACGTAGGTAGTATATTTCTTCCTTGTAAGTTTCTGTGGAAGCTTGTATGAAATGATTGCCAATCGCTTTGTTGCACATGATTAGTGAGTTTTGAGTGCATACCTTTAGCTGTTTGTAGTGAGTTTTGAGCGTATACCTTTAGCTGTTTTGAGGACTCTTAGAATGGCTTGTAGTGAGTTTTGAGTGCCTACCTTTAGTTGTTTAACATAAAATGTTTTACATGTTTCATTATTCTCTAGTTCCAGAAGCCACTGAAATTGCAAAATACTACATTGATGTGGGATTTTCTAGCCTTAGTTCTCACTCCAAATGATGCAAAATCTTCTATAAAAATAATCTATTAATGAAAGATAAGACACTTTTGTCATGGATATAATTTGTTTAATCCCTTTGTACTGTATTTTCTTTCCTTTTTCCTTGGTAAGCTAAAAGTCTTTATATTTTCATTTTATCATCGAGGGAAATCTCATTTTTAGTGATCAGTATCTTTAGAATTTGTTCCATTTCCTGACAGAACTATTTCTGTATTGCAGGCTACAGGTGTACGATCAATTACTTTCCACCCTGATGGGAGAACCCTATTTTGTGGATTGGATGGCAGTTTAAAGGTTCTAAACTTTTCCATTTTGAAATATTGAGTTGTTTTTTTGTGAAATAATATGGCTTTCACATGTCCATGCCCCTTGAACTGTTAGGTATATTCGTGGGAGCCTGTAATTTGCCACGATTCTGTTGATATGGGATGGTCAACATTGGGAGACCTCTGCATCCATGATGGGAAACTTTTGGGTTGCTCCTATTACCGGAATTCCGTTGGAGTTTGGGTAGCAGATATATCGGTAATTATCTTCACCTTGTTCTTCAAGCATGTTATCTTTTTCCTTTAAGTGTTTTCCCTGTCTTCAGGTAATCTTTTCCCTTTAAGTCCTTCATATATGTCCTTTGTGTCAGCTTATTGAGCCGTACGGGGCTGGCTTTGTACCTGGGCAAAATAGCCACTCGGAGTGTAAGTATGATCTAAAAGAAAGTCGTTTGGAGAAAGTAGGGAGCCATAGAAGGTCTACTTCAAATATGCGTTGCATGTCTCCGGATGATGACACTAAAGAAATAAAGAATATATATGTGGACAGTAAGTTGTTGTCTATGTTGTTTCCTTATTAGTTATAAATGTTTGTTATCTTTGTTGTTTTACACTTCTATTCGTTGTTCATTCCAATTCATCTACTGTCATTATGGTCTCCATCCAAAGGTTTGGACAAGATGTGTGTGTGTGTGTGTGTGTGAGAGAGAGAGAGAGAGAGAGAGAGAGAGAGGGGTCTTCTCTTTTGGCATGAGGCATTGACAGCAAGCATTGGCTATTCATTTTGATATCTTCTACCGGAGAAACATTAGTCCATCATCTTCCTTTTCCTGTATTATATATTTTCTAATAGTTCTTGGATATTTTTGTTTGGATATCTTCTGGCTTAAAGCAATCTTGACTTCTACTTTTTGGCAGTGAACCTTGATCAACTGGAGTTGTGTTGGCTGGTTAGGCTGAAATTTGATCTGGACTTTCAGGAAAATATTCTGGTCCAGCCTGAGTTAAAGGGTAGTTTTAGCTTGTGCTAACACCAGTCCAACTATAAATCCAGTTTAGCCAGAACTGACTTCAGGCCGAATTTGAGCTTAAAACTAAATTTGGGCTGGTGAAGTTTAGTCTGGATTTCTGTTTTGCTCTAACTGATAGGGATGAATCTGAACCTACCTGTTGTGTAGGCTGATGACCGAAAGAGGTTGATTTTATATATATTTTTAATGCTAATTTCTCTAATTGGGATTTTATTTGGATAGACAACAAATTCTTGTTTGCATGTATAGTTGTATACACATACTTGATATGTAGTATATATTTCTTTCCTGATCTTTGTTTTTATATGGCCTCTAATGTACTGTTCCATGTAAAGCCGCAGGTAGAAGTCCTACTGTTTCAAAAAAAGTTGGGTCAGTCAATTCTCCGAAGGTTGTACTCCCATCAGATTCCAAGGAAGTCAGTAATCTGCCAACTGAGAAGCAGGGTCCTGCAGTTGGCCTGCATGCAAAAACTATTGGTCAAGGAAAAGGAAATAGTAAATCCTATGTAGTACCTAACATTGTACCTCGGGAGAGCCCAGATGGCAAAGACTCTGCAAACTATAGAAGAGAATCTCTGACCGGTGCAAGGGCCAATGCTGGTATTTCTCACAAGCCACCCCATATAAGAAGACCATCAGCTACCAAATTCGATGTAGAGCGGTTTCCAGTGGCTGTTGAATCTGGATCCTTTACCAATATGACTACTGATTTAGATGCTGCAAAGGATCCAAGCTTCCAAATCAGGGTTGTATTAGATAGTGATGCTAGAGAATCATCTGAGGAACGACATTCTGATATCAATAGTGCCGCTCAGAAGTTTGAAAAAAATTTGTCGCCGAGGACGCCATCAGATCAGGAAAACTGTTAAGTTCTTGTTCTGTGAATAGTGCCATATCTTTTCATGTCATTTTTGCGCTTTTTATACCAGTGTTGGTCTCTCCAACGTGGGTGCTCTGAGGGCTTTCAATTGAATGCTGTTACGTTGCACACGTAGTTATTCTTTTTCTGCCTCATTGTTTCCCCTTGTAGATATGCTGTGCTGTCTTGACTGTAAATTTCTGGCTCTTCAATCCACTTACAGTCCTGTTCTCCATTCAGCTGTCTCTAGGGCTAAATTTGTTGAATAATAGGTCAACAGTTCTGGTAGCACTTAAGGTTGAGTTTTTACCACTGCTTTCATAGGCACTGTCATTGTCTGGTCTTTTGATGCATATTGCCAAACATGTTCTGGAATTAGATTCCAAAAATGAAAGATATTTCAAATTCTTTTAAGAAAAACAAAAATGTTAAAAAAGACAAGTCCTTAAAATAATTTTCTGTTTCCATTCTCCAAAATGTTTTTAGTTTGCTAAAATTTCAATCCATGCTGTCTTCATCCAATTATTCCTTGTTTGTGGGAAAAAAATTAATGAATACATTGACATATTAATGCTATTAAACACAAGCTATCTGGAAGAATATAATAATGTCTAATTTTTTCATCCATCTGCTTTTCCTGAAAAAAAAATAATACCCCTCATACCTCCAATTTGTTTATTTATTTTTTTATTTTGCCTATAATTTTCTGAGTCAAAGTACATACCTTCATGTCATTTGTTGATTTTTAAATTGTCTCCATCCATATTTTTTATCTATGGTTTAAAAAATAAGCTTTTATGTTTCATTGCCGATGATATGTAATGTTTATACACATGTATAGATATATACATGTTTAAGCTGTTGCTGAAATTTTGATCTTTTCTTTTTCATTATTTTTCAGGTGATGATTCCCTCGATTGCAGCAAAGGGGTGAACTCTGTTAAATATGTCAATGGAGGTTTGCTATTAAAACCTCTCTATGCAGTTTCAAAAGTTACATTGGATGGGATCTGATTCTTTTGGGTTCTTATTTGGGCAGTGGCAGTTGTACGAGGAAGGACGCGCTCATTGGTTGAGAGGTTTGAAAGGAGAGAAAAAGTGAGTGACAATGAAGTTCAGAGAACTGATATGGCCCCTCACATGATATCCGATGCAGCTAAAACAAACCCCACACTGGTAGGGTTTTTCACCCCTTTATAGTAAATTAGTAATATTCTATACCTTTGTTGCATGGATGGGGAGATACATTACTTTGAATCTATTTGATTGAAAGGACTCTGTCAAGATATTCTGAAAAACTAGAGACTGAGATGGGAAGAGAACAGAAATAAACTAATATATTCATTAAAATTAAATGTATTGTGTAATCATTTTATACGTGTATTATATCATCCTCCCATTTAATTGAAACTATTGTTTGGTATTCTTTTTTATTCACAATTTCTTATATGCCCTTTATAGTGTATACTATAATTCCTTCGGGATAGAGAAAAAGAAAGGAAAAAAGAATCTCAACAAGTTCACTGGGTCAAACCAATGTTGATTGCATGTTGTGCATGCATTTGTTTTGGCAGTCTCCAACATGCACCGAAGTGTGTCAGAACCATATAGGCGTACAATTTATACACAAGCATAATTTGTTTATCGATGTGTGATGCTAAGTTTCTTGCAATCTAGGTGTTGAAGCAATGAGTGGGTGCCACATCAAATGTATTTGTTTTTTGCAACTAAGTGAACGGTGACATTTTGCTTTTCAGAGCTTATTAAATTGTATCTGCATATATCCATCTGGAATGTGTTTGAATTAGTGAAAACATTTAAACTTTGGTTGAGATCTTTTGTTTTTGAAAAAAAAAAAAAAATGACAAGGTTGAAACCTATAAAAATATTTTACGGCCTGAAATAGAAACGAGGTCCCAAGTTTGTTGAAAATTCTGTTTAAATCAAAGAAGACATCATTGTAATTATGTGAGTTTTTCCATTGAGGAATTTAGGACTTTAATACTAGGTTATAATATAGAGTTGCTCAAGGTCCGTGATCTAGACGTAGAGGGGGATGAATAGGTTTTGCTTTTAAATTTAAACTAAATTAACTGCAATTCAAAAATCTAAACTAATTAGGAAGTATTTTGTTATATTTGTCCATCACAATCAATAAAACATATGAAGAAAAATATTCAATCATACCCATGGAACATAAAGATGTTTTAAAACCTAAGAGGAAAATCACGGGACCTAGTCGAGGCAGATCAAAACAACTATGAGAAAGAGATATACAACTAGTTTACCAGTTTTCCAAACTAAAAAAAATTAGTTACCTCCTGACACAGACTGGCGCCAAACTCTTCGCTTGAGTCTCCAAGCCGTCTGCTCCGTCAACATATCTGCCCCTCAGGTGATCTGCTTCTCCTCAAGTATTTTGATCTCCTTAGCTAGTTGTCTAGGCTGAATGGGTTGTGTGAAACTCTTGTGGGGTGTGGAAAACTTCGTTGGCTCAGTAGTATTAGTTGGTCGACACCTTGAATGTATAGACACCAAATTATGTGGCCTAATGAAGATGTAATAAACAAAATTCTAGTAGAGAATGGCTATAATGCTTTCTCATCCCACTCTATATGCCATAGGCATGCTCAAAGGAAATAGTGTAATGGCTAGCATAGTTTTTCTAAACACAAGAGAGCTTCATATATAGTTTAGAGTCGTAAAACAATTATGGTTTTAGTATATTCTCTTCAGAAAGGAAATTGAATTCCGTGTAGTTTGATTGATTGAGCCAAGTGCCAATTGATCGACGCAAGGCTAGTGGCCGATTCATCTCTCGATTGATCAAAGTTCCTTGTCCTTCTCCAAATAGATTTTTGATTTTAAGAAGTTTAAAAAAAACACTTTTTGCATATCAAAAAGGATTTTTATGCATCAAACATGGAAAATATGAAACCCTCATTGATGAAACATGAATCCTAATTGGCGAGTGCACATAACTGCCTTTCTTCTGAATCTGTAGGGAAAGTTGCCCTGAGTGCCTATAGTTATTTAATTGTCAATCAAGGATACAAAATTTTGGTCATAATTATAGAAGATTCTTGTCCAAGACTGAAAACTACTTGTTTAATTGACTATGAGTGACATTACCCAAGTCTGGACCCACTAAAATAGGGTCTTGAGAAGGGAGGAGTCAAGAGAGACCTAATCTTTGATATTTCACAAAACAGCTGCTGCCTTAAGTATCAGGGTAAAAATCTTTGTTTACTGTTACAGGACATTCTTGTTTATTGTGGTAAACCACTTCAGTGAATCCTAGAACTTCGGAGTCCTTTTGAGTTTCCAAGCAGATCCTTCCAGTAGCAATCTTATGTATTCTTGCAGGAAGCGATCAGTAATCTTGGGGAAGAGTTCCCAAAGCTTCTCATAAATTTAGATTTAAGTATTTTGGCTCTTTACATATTTTTGCTTATATTTTCTGTTCATTTTGTGTCTCTCTTTGTGATTTCCTTTCTAGGATTTTTCAGCCTTCTCCAACTATATGTTCCCACATTGTTTCTTTGGTCATTTGCCCACTTTAAGTTCCAATGTAGTATGCTATTTGGCGTAGGCTGGGCCCAGCCATGGTCCGCCCTTGGAGCAAAGCAGCCTGAATTTGGCTAAGCTTGTCCCGGATCAGCCATTTGAGGAATCAGATCAAGACCATGTCAGTTCAACTTGAATCACAGTCCGTCCATTAATAGTGCATTGAAGGAGTTATGTCAGTAGAACTTCTACATTCCCTTGCCGAAAATGTTGGCTTCTAACCTTCTTTTATGCCTGTAGACTTTGATATGGATGTGCAATAATAAGCATAAAATTAGTAGAGATGTCATTTTTGGTCTTCAGTTTGAGCTGCATGTAGCCCAGGCTTGACTCCAACTGATGTCCTTGCTTCAAAAGTCTAGCCTTGAAGATTTTCTTAGTGAACATAAAGCATTGGGCTAGCTCAGTCCTATATCCAGTATTAATTTTACACGGCGTCTCGTGTTCCTCTTTCCAGTATGGTATTTAGAACTGCAGCGATCCATCATTTGAATGATCGAGTTACATAGATATGCCATATTGTGTCTTGTAAACTTTTTATCGAGTTACTTGTTAACTTCTTCAATGTTACCTTTACATTGTTCCTTTGGTTTCTTCCTGAGAATTGTGACTCATATTAGGTGCTAAAAAGTATTAACGTTGTGGACCATGCTTGAAACAAAGTTTGAAGTTGAAGGGTATATCATACTCTCACAACCACATAAGTTGGAAGCTATAGGAATTACACTCCGTTTTTGGTCTCTCTCTCTCTCTCAAAATATAAATCATAACATTCTCATCTACGTATATGGAAGACAAAATCACTCATACATGTTTATGAATATGTATTTTTATCCCTAGGACGGAGCCCATTGGACACGCAGTTGCTCCCACTAATTTTTATATATATACACACACACACACTTTTGTATACATCTTTTACAATTGTTATACAGTTGCCCCCATAAACTTTCTTATTCCCCCTTGCAAATTCTTCGATCTCTTACTGTAAATTAATCCATTCTCGTTTTCCTCATCTCTCTCAACTCTCCTCTTTGATTTTCTTCCCTTTGTCCCTGTAGATTTAATTCCTGGCTCTATCACTATCCCGCGGGGGTATTAGCTACTGGAATTTGTTGTCAAAGTCATGTAAACTGGATCTTGAATTGTGTTATAGTGTTCTGTGTCTCTTATTGTTAGACAGAGTTATTGTCAGATTTTGTTCAATAAAACCAGTCAGTATTCATCATGTTACTTGGCAACTTACAGAATAGACATCCACAAGTTATTGAAAGGGAGTTGGCATCTGCGAATGATGAGAAGGTGGCATCTGCGAATGATGAGAAGGTGTTTGAAGATCTGATGCAAAATCATGATGTATTGTTAAGTACCCTTCGATCCCGCCTGACAAAATTACAGGTTAGTTTAGCTGGTTCATGCATAAAAATGTTAATATTGATGGAACACGTACACGGTTTCCTCGATTATTCAATTTTTCTTGTAGTAGTAGTTTACAACATGACATGGACAAGTGCATCTAAGCCATAAATGAGATGAACACTGGAAGCCTGACATGTTAGCCTTTCTAAAAAGTTGTTGCAATGTAGAATACATCTCTGGCAATACCTCAAAATATTTGAAATGCTTCTGGGTATTTGTAATTATTGTCAATCTTGGTTGCCACTACAAAAATTTCTATTATTCATTTTAGGGTTTCTTTTAGTGCCGCTTTCATGAAAATGGTTTTATTGCCTCTTGTTTTACTTAAAAGTTATGACCAATAATCGTTTTAACATGAACTTGCAGGTCATACGGCACTTCTGGGAACGGAATGACCTTAAAGGTGCTATAAACGCCATGAAGAAGCTGCCTGATCATTCTGTGAGTATCTATTAAAGGATTTCCTGTGGTGTTGCTTGTTCTGTTTTTGATGGTTCCTACTAGTAACATTTATCCTGCATGTTGAATTTTCTTAAGAAAAATTCCTTCCTGATGCAGGTACAAGCAGATGTGATTGGCGTTCTTATGGAAAAAATGGAGATTCTCACCTTAGATTTATTTTCTTGCTTGCTACCTGTTCTGTTGAGCTTACTGGATAGCAAGATGGAAAGGTAACTCTTTTATCAATAAAATTAGAACTTATGTTGCTAAAGGTTGGAAAACGTGGGTCTTGGATGTTGCATCGCCTCGGTGTGATTATAATCATGTATAGCTGAGACTATAATTATAGTAATTGACAAAGTATGACCTGTCTAGTGATATTACTCTCCTGGTTTTCAGTCCAGATAACCGCTGCAAACCCAACCCAATCCTATTAGTAGTTTATAAGTATATCTTACTTCACATGGTAATAGTTTATATTAGAAAATAAGGATTCAAACAAACTTTTTTCCTGGTTGAGTTGATTACAGACTAAGAAGCATGGACATTTCTATGACTTGTGCACCAACACTTCACTGAAAATCCTGAACATGTGTTAGACACTTCATGGACATGTCCATAATTTAAAAATAAATTTCATTATTTCCGAGATTAACCGACACTCGCTGGACACTTGGCCGGCAGGCCCGGCACATCACAGCCATTCCCAAACACAAATCACGTATAGCAGCACAAACCCATGAAGCACAGATACAGATAAGGGACAAGGATATGACACAATACGAACACGGAGATAAGATAAATGTCAAAAAAAAAAAAAAATGGACACGAGAATAAAATAATGATATAATATATTATTATGTAACAAAAAATTGATTTTTGCTCATTGTATCCACATTATCATGATGTAATCACTAGTTTGGAAGTTAAAGCTGGATGAGTGTTGCTTTTGTTTTTTGTTGTTTAATAATAATTTTTTATTAGTCCATAATTTGTTTTAAAATTGCATTGAAACCCTTTTTTTTTAAAATAATAATAATAATTGTAAAACTATCCTGCTGTATCCTAAAAGTGTCCTAAATGCGTCTTACTTTTTAAGGGTTTGATTTATCAAAGTATCCTTATCGTATTGTATTGTATCTGTGTTCCATGTATGTGTCTATGCTACTCAGGTTATATACTGCCGAATCTATCATGAGTTAAGGTTCCAGACCTGATTCACTGCCACTCTTCGTGAAGAAGCACTCACATCCTCACTTCTACCTATTAAGGTTCTAGTGAAAGAGCTTCTATTATTTTTTCTGAACTCTTTGGCAATTACAGGCCTTTTAAGTAAGACTTCAGAACAAGATTTGACCTAAGTAACCTGCTCTAAGGTGAAGTCTTCTGTCTGTCTACCAAGATCCACGAAGTAATAAAAAGTACATAGTTAAAGAATCTCCAAACACTGCCCTAAACACCACTGCTATCACCATTCCTGTCATTTCCTTTTAATAATTGAACTAGCTACAGCAAACATGCAAGTTAATGGTAGGAAGAAACATCACGCTGAAAGATAACAAGAACAATAGCATGTTTTATTCCTAAATTCTTTGGGTGCGCCACCCTAATGAGTCCTTTTAATGAAAATTTTACTTATAAAAAAAAATGTTTTATTCCTCTTTAAGCTGTAAGAGAGAGAAAGCACAATTTGGAGTTTTGGACATTTATCTATTTAATATTTATTTATTTATTTTGAAAACTGAATGCGACTGTATTTACTTGATTTCTCTCGTGTTAAATATGAAAAGGAAGGAACGTAAGTGTGCCTGTGAAATATGCTAGAGTAAGCTTATATGAGTTTCAAATGATTACCAGAGCATCTTGCTATTATTTGAAGAATGTCAATATGGCAACCCTATTTTTTTTTTTCCTTTCGTTTTCTTTTTTGAGTGAAGATCAAGAAAAACCTGTTCGTCTATTTTGTAATTGCTTGCATTGGATTTGACAGACTGTATAGATTTTTTACTTGTGTTGCAAATGTCTAGGCATTCTAATGTTTCCCTGGAGATGCTACTGAAGCTTGTAGCAGTCTTTGGGCCAGTAGTCCGCTCAACCATTTCGGCACCCCCAGCTGTTGGTGTTGATCTTCAGAAAGAGCAAAGGTATATCATCCATCAACACTTGCCCTGGACTTCCCCCCGTGGCGAATTCAAAATTACGGCTGCTTGTGAAATGAGACCTATTTGCTTAACACATTAACTTCTATATGAATTTTTTTGTTACAGACTTGAGTGCTGCAACCAGTGTTTTATCCATCTCCAAAAGATCCAGAAAATTCTTCCAGTGCTTGTAAGGTAAACATTCTATCCTGAAACGTCAGCTTATAATCAAGTATTACAAAAACATGGTGAGGAATTGGAGGTGATTGTAACTGCCTTTGAAGTTGCTAGTCACATTATTAGTCGCAGCCTGGTGGACTGCCTGCTGAATCTGGTTGAACGTAATTGCTCTGTCCTTGATTTAAAGGGAAGAGTTTTTAGAAGTGGAATTATACATAATTGGCTATGTCTTTCTAAAATGTCCTTAGCTTTGCAACAAGGATGCATGTTGTTCTTTCATATTCCTCTATGTTGGCATTGTGGAGTGTGAATTTTGTGGTGGAAGAGAAGGACGGAGAAGAGCTTTCGGATCTTTCATGGTGGGCTGAAACGTGTACTTGCTGATTTCTCTATGGAAATGTGATCCATACATCCTCCTTCCCTCTCCCTTCTCGCCTAAATGAATGAGTGTCTAGTGTATGGGGAAGGAGTGAATATCCTGTTTATCAGAAATGAGATTTTCAATATTCCTTCAATAATGGCTTCTAAAAGCACCTTTTCTTTTACTTTAAATGTGCCTACACCCTCACCCTTTTCTATTTTCCTATCCAGACTTATAAATGGCCATTCTAACTAGTTCATGTATCCTGTTGAGCTTACGAGTACGGCTTCAATCCTGCTGATTTAATGGGAGGTTTTGTCACAATTGTTGACTGGGCAGCCAAACAAGTGCATGCAGGAGATTTCCTTGCTGCATTGCTCTTTTTATTTGAAGAAATCAATGTTTTTTTTCTTCTTAATTAAGCCTATTTTGTTAATGTTTCATTAAGAGAGTCTAGTAGTTTTATTTTTTCATCTGGTATTTAGGTTAATGGATTGTTAGATTATGAGTAATTGATTTTGTCTCATTCAATTATTTTCTGGTTACAAAACCCTAATTTGATTCCAAAAACCCAAACCCTAGTTGCCCACCTTTCTTTCTTGTACATAAATTTCATTGAGCTTCTATTTCATATTAAAATTAGTCTTATAACTTAATTTAACCATTATTTTATCCCTAAACCTTAATTATCTTTTTCCTCTTTTTATAAATAAACCCTAGTCTTAATTTCTATTATAAACCCTACAAACTTAAGCCCTAGCCTACAATGTGTGTTTGTATTTGTGGCTTTAAATCAATTACCTAAGGCTCCAACTTGTTTTGATAGTTACCCAAGTCTCCATCTTACGTCAATGGAAATGTTCCTAGTCTGTATCCTAGGCATTAGATTAGTTTTGCAAGATAGCCTTGGTGTAATCTTTTCATTTGTTGGTTGAGGTGTGATGGCCACATATAGAGTTGGGTCATTTGGCATCTCCAAGTCACCCCAAGCCTTGTAGTTTTAGGAAGTAATAATAATAGTGTTGTGATCCCAACCTTGTAAGCTGTTGCCTATGTATTTGTGAGCAACTCGGGGGTGAAAGGTGTGAGGCTGGCAAAACATTGGACAGCCAATCAAATTGTTGGCTTATTCAAGTAACGTTAAGGCTTGGCTAAGCAGGGTTCAGAGAGAAAGGAGTCGCCTTATTGTCTCACTGGTAGGCGGCTTGTGACAAGAAGCTTTTAATCTGGTGGGAGCATTTGGGGGATTTGGATGATTTTGTGTGATTTCAAGAGTCCTGATGAAAAATTCTTGTGTCCCAACTGAACAATCATCTTATACATTGTCATCATAATCATGATAAAAGTAGTTCATACACTACATTGTCCCTTTATCACTGTTCTAATGAGATCACTGTACAAGAATCGAAAGGATTTGAGATCTCTATGTTGGTTGCCCTTGCCATATCTTAGCCCTGTTACATGATTTTCTCCTCCTCCAAATGTTCAATTTCTTTTGGATTCGATTGATTCGGCTCATGCATCAATTGATTCACTGATGTCCATGATTCAAATTGATTTTATTTCTACAAAATGTAATACCACTTATGCCAGACATTTTGATCATCTTCTTAATATTCAAATTTTCTGAGTAGAACTATAAAGCAGTTTCTATTTCCCCCTTTTACCCCATTTAGATATACGTGATGCTTTATAGCTTGATCATTTTTCTGACATATATTACCATTGATTTTGTAGGAAGGGTGGTTTGCTAGCAAAAAGTGCTCTAGAACTTAACTTAATTCTTCAAGAATCATAGTTTCCCTTGTCATCCATAACCAATTCCATAGAAGAGAAGTGTAGCTCGGCGTGATACCCTTTAACATGATTCATACGCGAGAACCCCGTGTTCTTAAATTGAGGGTCTTGCAATTTTGTCTTGCTGCTTTCTACCTTTTGCTGCCCTCTTGGCTCTTGAGAGTTTGTGAGGCAAAGCTTGAAGCCTTAGAGTTTTGTGATTCTTTGGATATGGATATTGTTGTTTGTGTTTGTAGTTTAAATTTTGAAATGTAGATAGGTACAAATCAATTGTATATTTTGCACATTTGTAATGCTCAATGGGCTAGCTGTATACAATCTTTTGATAAATGAGATGTATGTTCCCTATTTGCCTTGTTTCTTTATGTTATTTTTCTTTTCCTCTTTTTTTTTTTTTTTTAAACGTTTTGTGTTGAGTTTCTTTTAGTTCACCTGTTCTAGTTGACAGTTTATTTAATTGCTACACAAACCTGAATTTCAGCGAGTCTTTTTAGGTAACTGGGGTATCCGGAGCAAAAGCCCGAACTAAATCCCCGGAGTACCGTACAAAGCACTCCTTCCACACTGTACATTGCCCCGATATTATGTGGTGGGACTCATCACTCCATCCGCTACATATTCGGTATTCTCCGAATTTAGAGAGTGTCTAGTAGATTGATATTCCATCCGATTTTTTTTAATTATTTAATTAGTTACCAAAGCTTCTCGTCTCTCTGCGGGAGTTATATGCTAAAAAAATAAAAACAAATGAAAGTCAACATCATCTAATAGTTCTACTTAAACCAACAATAATTGCTTCCAAGTATGAGTAATTGACTATTATGACTTGTGAATACGATAGTTTGAAGTTTTTGTATTGACGACGTGTGACATAAACCAATTAATGGGAAATGATTATTTCTATCTAAAGGTCTTATTCCAAAGAGTAGAAATATAAACATCGGTGACTTTTTCTTCACTCATGAGTAGCAAAAATTATTAGATAGTTTGAGATAATATTATTTTGACTAATCTGGAGATGCCATGCATCCATGATCCCGGACTGTCAAAAAATTTCTCAGTACCAAAAAGAATTGCCCTAAAGTGGATGTCATTTCCAATATGTTGCTTTCCATTCTACGCAATTTTATCAAGAACTAATAGACGTTACTGAGATGACATCATATTAATAAATAAATATTTTATTAGTTTTTTTTATTTGTTTAATTAACCTTTAAAAATTAATAAATAAATAAACATCACTCAGTTATCAAATGCAATATATATTCAAGAGAATATGAGTTTGTCAGGGAATTGACTAACATGATGGAGAAAGGAAACAAGAAAAAGATGGGCTTGCTGCTTGCTAGTTCTATTTAATGATTTTCTGAGTTGATAGCTCTGAACTGAACAACTGCAATAAATCAAATATTACTATATATAATATATATACACACACATTACAATTCAAGTGTCAAACAGACTGCAAAATCACCTCCGGTCTCACATTAACCAGTTTTCTTTGGAGTAAGTGACTGTAAAGGTGCCATGTCAATTAAAAATATAGAGAATCTAATTTTTCACCACCCTCTTTAAGTTGTATTACATATATTTATATATATAAAAACTTTAAACATTATTTTCAAAATACAGTATAAGTTATTTTAATAGAGAAGTGGGTCTAGTTTAATATTATTTAACTCTCAATTTTGTATTCTAGGTCGTCTTCCTCCCTCTCCATGGTATTTTATTTTGAGGGTTCCCTCCCTCTCCTTGGTCTCTGATATTTTATTTTGGGAGTTTCAATTAAATTTTCTTGATTATCATCAAATTTGTTCCTTATGTCTGAACAATTATTGGTTTATTCCAAA